AAAAAAAAAAAAAAATGTAAACTAGCCCCGCCCTAAGGCCAGGTTCCACAATACGCCCCCCAGGGGGAGTAAATCTGGCCCTGCACTGTGCCCTTGGACAGCTCTCCCAGTGCCAGGTGCACAATAAATAGCTCCGCCTCCACCCACCATTGTCCAATGAATGGTACCCGCTGTTGGTCCGTTTCTGGGTGATCTGGATAGAAGTCCTCCCTGGCCGCATCGAAGAGTTTAGAGAACAGAAACATATCAGAGTGACTTCTGCCGGGAGTCATCCCGTCACATAGAAAAGGAGACCGCCTGCTCCACCCAATGCGGCCATGACACTCTCTGATTGATGGGGATCGGCAGGAAGGGGCCATTCTGTCCGGTAACATCCCCCGCACAGATCTCCATGTACAGGAACACCTCATCCATCACTTACCTCCTGAAGCTGAACAGCGGTAAGGACACTTGTCCCAACATCTCCGGTCCCTTCCTCTGCTTGTTGGAGTCCGGGGAGCTCCCGCCGCTGGGATTCAGGATGCCGTAGAGGCGGAGCTGCAGGATGGACTCTAATGGCAGCTGTGCGATCTGTATGGGGAAAATGATCCTACAAAACATACGAGAAACCCCGATATCCGTGATCAGAGGACCGTGCGTCACCGAGAGATCCCAAATCCCAGAGATCCCAAATCCCACAGACAGAGATCCCAAATCCCACAGACAGAGATCCCAAATCCCACAGACAGAGATCCCAAATCCCACAGACAGAGATCCCAAATCCCACAGAGATCCCAAATCCCACAGAGATCCCAAATCCCACAGAGATCCCAAATCCCAGACAGAGATCCCAAATCCCACCGAGATCCCAAATCCCACCGAGATCCCAAATCCCACAGAGATCCCAAATCCCACAGAGATCCCAAATCCCAGACAGAGATCCCAAATCCCACAGAGATCCCAAATCCCACAGAGATCCCAAATCCCACAGAGATCCCAAATCCCACACAGAGATCCCAAATCCCACAGAGATCCCAAATCCCACAGAGATCCCAAATCCCACAGAGATCCCAAATCCCACAGAGATCCCAAATCCCACCGAGATCCCAAATCCCACAGAGATCCCAAATCCCACAGAGATCCCAAATCCCAGACAGAGATCCCAAATCCCACAGAGATCCCAAATCCCACAGAGATCCCAAATCCCACAGAGATCCCAAATCCCACAGAGATCCCAAATCCCACAGAGATCCCAAATCCCACAGAGATCCCAAATCCCACAGAGATCCCAAATCCCACCGAGATCCCAAATCCCACAGAGATCCCAAATCCCACAGAGATCCCAAATCCCAGACAGAGATCCCAAATCCCACAGAGATCCCAAATCCCACAGAGATCCCAAATCCCACAGAGATCCCAAATCCCACAGAGATCCCAAATCCCACAGAGATCCCAAATCCCACAGAGATCCCAAATCCCACAGAGATCCCAAATCCCACAGAGATCCCAAATCCCACAGAGATCCCAAATCCCACAGAGATCCCAAATCCCAGACAGAGATCCCAAATCCCACAGAGATCCCAAATCCCACAGAGATCCCAAATCCCACAGAGATCCCAAATCCCACAGAGATCCCAAATCCCACAGAGATCCCAAATCCCACCGAGATCCCAAATCCCACAGAGATCCCAAATCCCACAGAGATCCCAAATCCCACAGAGATCCCAAATCCCAGACAGAGATCCCAAATCCCACAGAGATCCCAAATCCCACAGAGATCCCAAATCCCACAGAGATCCCAAATCCCACAGAGATCCCAAATCCCACAGAGATCCCAAATCCCACAGAGATCCCAAATCCCACCGAGATCCCAAATCCCACAGAGATCCCAAATCCCACAGAGATCCCAAATCCCACAGAGATCCCAAATCCCAGACAGAGATCCCAAATCCCACAGAGATCCCAAATCCCACAGAGATCCCAAATCCCACAGAGATCCCAAATCCCACAGAGATCCCAAATCCCACAGAGATCCCAAATCCCACAGAGATCCCAAATCCCACAGAGATCCCAAATCCCACAGAGATCCCAAATCCCACAGAGATCCCAAATCCCACAGAGATCCCAAATCCCAGACAGAGATCCCAAATCCCACAGAGATCCCAAATCCCACAGAGATCCCAAATCCCACAGAGATCCCAAATCCCACAGAGATCCCAAATCCCACAGAGATCCCAAATCCCACAGAGATCCCAAATCCCACAGAGATCCCAAATCCCACAGAGATCCCAAATCCCACAGAACCATCTATACTATGGAGACAGCAACCTTCTATCTGACCTCCGTCCTTCCCCTCAGTCTTCTATCTGACCTCCGTCCTCCCCTTCAGTCTTCTATCTGACCTCCGTCCTCCCCTTCAGTCTTCTATCTGACCTCCGTCCTCCCCTTCAGTCTTCTATCTGACCTCCGTCCTCCCCTTCAGTCTTCTATCTGACCTCCGTCCTCCCCTTCAGTCTTCTATCTGACCTCCGTCCTCCCCTTCAGTCTTCTATCTGACCTCCGTCCTCCCCTTCAGTCTTCTATCTGACCTCCGTCCTCCCCTTCAGTCTTCTATCTGACCTCCGTCCTCCCCTTCAGTCTTCTATCTGACCTCCGTCCTCCCCTTCAGTCTTCTATCTGACCTCCGTCCTCCCCTTCAGTCTTCTATCTGACCTCCGTCCTCCCCTTCAGTCTTCTATCTGACCTCCGTCCTCCCCTTCAGTCTTCTATCTGACCTCCGTCCTCCCCTTCAGTCTTCTATCTGACCTCCGTCCTCCCCTTCAGTCTTCTATCTGACCTCCGTCCTCCCCTTCAGTCTTCTATCTGACCTCCGTCCTCCCCTTCAGTCTTCTATCTGACCTCCGTCCTCCCCTTCAGTCTTCTATCTGACCTCCGTCCTCCCCTTCAGTCTTCTATCTGACCTCCGTCCTCCCCTTCAGTCTTCTATCTGACCTCCGTCCTCCCCTTCAGTCTTCTATCTGACCTCCGTCCTCCCCTTCAGTCTTCTATCTGACCTCCGTCCTCCCCTTCAGTCTTCTATCTGACCTCCGTCCTCCCCTTCAGTCTTCTATCTGACCTCCGTCCTCCCCTTCAGTCTTCTATCTGACCTCCGTCCTCCCCTTCAGTCTTCTATCTGACCTCCGTCCTCCCCTTCAGTCTTCTATCTGACCTCCGTCCTCCCCTTCAGTCTTCTATCTGACCTCCGTCCTCCCCTTCAGTCTTCTATCTGACCTCCGTCCTCCCCTTCAGTCTTCTATCTGACCTCCGTCCTCCCCTTCAGTCTTCTATCTGACCTCCGTCCTCCCCTTCAGTCTTCTATCTGACCTCCGTCCTCCCCTTCAGTCTTCTATCTGACCTCCGTCCTCCCCTTCAGTCTTCTATCTGACCTCCGTCCTCCCCTTCAGTCTTCTATCTGACCTCCGTCCTCCCCTTCAGTCTTCTATCTGACCTCCGTCCTCCCCTTCAGTCTTCTATCTGACCTCCGTCCTCCCCTTCAGTCTTCTATCTGACCTCCGTCCTCCCCTTCAGTCTTCTATCTGACCTCCGTCCTCCCCTTCAGTCTTCTATCTGACCTCCGTCCTCCCCTTCAGTCTTCTATCTGACCTCCGTCCTCCCCTTCAGTCTTCTATCTGACCTCCGTCCTCCCCTTCAGTCTTCTATCTGACCTCCGTCCTCCCCTTCAGTCTTCTATCTGACCTCCGTCCTCCCCTTCAGTCTTCTATCTGACCTCCGTCCTCCCCTTCAGTCTTCTATCTGACCTCCGTCCTCCCCTTCAGTCTTCTATCTGACCTCCGTCCTCCCCTTCAGTCTTCTATCTGACCTCCGTCCTCCCCTTCAGTCTTCTATCTGACCTCCGTCCTCCCCTTCAGTCTTCTATCTGACCTCCGTCCTCCCCTTCAGTCTTCTATCTGACCTCCGTCCTCCCCTTCAGTCTTCTATCTGACCTCCGTCCTCCCCTTCAGTCTTCTATCTGACCTCCGTCCTCCCCTTCAGTCTTCTATGTGACCTCCGTCCTCCCCTTCAGGACAAGCAGAGACAGCACAGAGGGTGAATCTCCCAAACAGGGACACCAGCACCAACGGAGGTCCTCATAGGAGGGTCAATAAACACCTGACTGCCTATCTTTGCAACAGGATGCACCGCCCTCAATATCTCTATTATAATAGTAAAATGCTGCCAGGGGTTCTAACCCGTCTCTCGTCCCTCCACATCTACAATAGTTTGTCCCTCTCATACACTGGAGGACAGGAGACTCTGCGAGGGCCACTCTGGGGGCCACCCCGGTACTTACAGCTCGTCCCATTTCACCAGGTAGAAGAAGCTCTTGTACGTTCCCACTTTCTTGGACTGAACGGGTTTGAACAAATCTCTTCCATTGTACAGCAGGGAGCACATTAAATAATACTTCTCAAAGCTGAAACAGAAGAGAGGAGAAGCGGCCAATCAGAAGCGGAGAGGAGAAGCGGCCAATCAGAAGCGGAGAGGAGAAGCGATATGGTATGGGTACAGAGTCCCCTCACCACAGACATCTGAGGCCCCCG